GTTGTGCTTTCACAGATCAATCATAGGAATGTGGTTAAACTCTTAGGTTGTTGTTTGGAAACTCAAGTCCCTTTACTCGTCTATGAATTCATCACCAATGGCACTCTCTTTGAGCATATACATAACCACATCAAGGCATCTAATATGTCATGGGAAAATCGGTTGCGAATAGCTGCTGAAACGGCTGGAGTATTGTCATATTTGCACTCTGCAGCATCGGTTCCTATTATTCATAGAGATGTTAAGTCTACGAATATACTCTTAGACGATAACTACATTGCCAAAGTGTCGGACTTTGGAGCATCAAGGTTGGTTCCACTAGACCAAGATCAATTAGCAACGGTGGTGCAAGGAACTCTTGGATACTTAGACCCTGAATACATGCTCACAAACCAATTAACAGAAAAAAGTGATGTTTACAGCTTCGGAGTAGTGCTTGTGGAGCTAATCACCGGAAAGAAGCCTAATTGCGTGTAACGGTGGTATGTCACTGAGGAGGTTAAACCTCCAGTCATTCCTTCTATTAGTGATACCTGCAAGTGTAGAGGATAAGCTGAGCTTTTAATGACTCTTATGTGTTAAGCTGTTGAGCTAAGTATTGCAGGATACTTTAGTAGAGTCACCTATGTGAGTTTGAAGTGGGGCCGCTTCTAGAAGAATTGGGCAGGCCAAGATTCTTTAAAACCACTCGTTGAACCAGGCTAGTGTCCAGGGCCACACAGGGCACACCAGTGAGAACATAATGGTGGTAGGAGTAATTCCCGTGTGAGATCTATTGTCTCAGTTTACATAAACGGTAGAGTAGTTCAAGATGTCTTATTCACTGATCTGCCAGTAAACTCGATAGGTTTTCACTGGGAGAGGTTCAAAGCCAAAAGCTACCTTCTCTGATGTCGGGGTTAGTTCGTTGTACTCTCTCTCAGAGTCTTTATTGTTGAACGATGTCCGTTTGTTGAGTCATTCGGTCAATTTTTATTCATGTGGGGGCTTGTTGGAAAAAATGATTTTTGGGGACTTTAATTTAATATTAAAGTGTGGTGACTTTAATTAAATATTAAAGTGGGTCCTAACCATTTTTTGTGTTGGGTCCAAGTGAGCCAAAAACCATTGGGTTTTGAATAAGAAATTGCCAAGAAATTGCTTCATGATGTTAGATTCATGAATAGGATTTTAAAGAGTATTTAAATCTTTTTTCTTGGCTAAAGGGTGTGAATCCTTTGGGTATCCATACTTTTCATTTTGTGGAAAGGGGCTATGGATGCTTGGTGTTTTAATGACTAGCCTTAAAAGCTGGAGGCTTTTCCTCTCTCCCCTATACATGTATAAATTGAGACCCTCCTGTCAAGTTTCAAGATAGAAAATTTTTGCTTCCATTTTACAAGTCAGTTTGCTTGATAGTTCCTATTGTGAGAGAGTGCTGCCATTGTTTTGTTCGCTAAGCTAGACAGATAGTGCTTCTGCCGTAGCTGGTTTTGACCGTCGTATCCTGAGAGACGGACGCCGGGTTTCCTCAAGCACTCGACCCGTGAGGCGGCGAAATCTGTTTTAAGGAAACTCCTTTCGTACAGACTTCGGTTTTGTCTCTTTACTCTTTATTATTTTTTGTGTATTTCTGTTGAAATTTAGTTGTAATTATCAATATATGTTCTTGATATATAATTTATTTTCTTTATAAATCTATTTATTTAATTTCACAATTTTAAACAATAAACTTATCTGTTAAAATTTAACAACGTACCATATATGTAGACAGATAACAAAACGTAAAATGAGACGAGACATAAATGTGTCCTCGGGTATGAGACTCACTCTTTGTGAGGAATAATTATTTTTAGAGTATTATATATTTGTACTTTTCATTAATTATTATGTATTATGTTTTTATTATTATTTTCTAATCATTCAATAAAAAGTCGTGAGTTTTATTTTTTTAACTAATTAGAATAGTTTGGGACATCACGTGGTTGTGTTTCAGGACCACCAAATAACTTTTTCTTCGTGAAGTATTTGTGTCTAGTAAATGTTTGGAATTTATTTTTTCAAGTAACTTTTTTATTATTTTATTTTCGTTTTTAATAAGTTTTACTTTTACATTTTTTTAAAAAAAAAATATGTTTCTAGATTATATTTGATGAGGTGAATAGAAAAAAAATTTTAAAAAAATTCATGAAAGACAAAAGAATATGTCAACATAGAAAAAAAAAATTATACTTATTTTGGCTTTTCAATTTTTTTTTAAATTTTCAGAGTTTTTTTATTTTTTAGATTGCTCTACAAGATGTACGGAAAAAATGACATAAATTTTTTTTTATTTATAAAAAAAGTCATTAAAAATATAAAAATAAAAAATTCAATAAAAAGAGGTCATTTATTTGGGAGATCCCAAATAGCCCCTTAATAAGTCCAAGTGCACATAGAATCAAATATATAATAGGACACAAATGTTTCACAAAAGATGAATCTCTATCTCTTATGAGACATTTTATATTTAGCATTGTTGAAAAATTCACTTTGTTTGGTTCCAATTTTTTAAATTTAATTTTTTAAAAATTAATTTTTTCATTTTTCATATTTTTTGTTTTTAGTGAATTTTTTTAATATTTTCAGTAAATTTTTTATTTTTTAAATACACTTAATATAAATACAATTAAAAAATATAATATTTGTGAAAAAATCTTTGAAAAATTAACTAAATACCAAAATATTAAAAAGAAATACGAAAAATCATACATTTATATTTTTGTGTATTTATTGATTTTTTTTAAAAAAATTTACAAATATTTTACTTTTTAGGTACATCTAGGTTAAATGTATTTAAAAAGTAAAAAAAAATTACTTAAAATATTAAAAAAATTCATTAAAAAAATATTCAACTTTCAGAAAATTAGAACCAAACAAGTTGATGGGTTTATTGCCTTAATCAATACGGTGGTGCTACATGCACCAATTAGTATACTAACTAGTGTACTAACACTAGTGTAGGTGTTAATTTCCGACCACACTGCCAATCAAGCACTCAGTTGGAGAACATTGACAGACTAGATTAAGCCCAAACGACCTGTCACAAAAAGAAGAGATTTCGGAGGTGGTTCATCCACGCGGGGGCACTCCGACGATCAAGACAGTTATCTCTCAAAGATAGCAAAAGTGCTTAACTCACTCTTCAGAGCATAAAAGCATACTTTAGACCTATGAGAGTGCCTCTCTTTTATAGCCAACACAAACCTAGTCCCAATAGAAGCTCAGCTTCAATAGACTTAGGATTACTGCTAATCTTGGACTTCCAGTAGGATTGGGATAAACTCTCTAAGAGTCTTATCTTTACCCAAACTGAAGTCCTCTCTCATTCTAGGACTCTTGTCCCTTATCTGCTTATCCCGGATTTCGGTTTCTTAACCTCGGCCTAGCCAAGATCATCTCAGCGTCATGACCAAGACACGTGGCACCTCGGCTGGTACTTCGGTGACACCTTGGCCACGTGTTGTCATTTAAAAATTATGTCCCCATAACTAGTTATGACATTATTGTTGATCACACTCACTATACAAATTAAAAATATCAAAAATATCTTAAAATTATGCCACATCATTAATTGATACAGTAACTAATATACTAAGTGGTCATTTAGGAACCCAACAAAAAGCTACGTTTTGTAGCTTCCAAAGACGCAGCCTGGCAGCTACAAAAAGCTAGAACACCATTTGGGAAGCGGGAGCCTCTATTTGCACATACCAATTCCACTCTTTGCACACACTTAATGAATTTTATTTTTATTACAATTTTATCCCTAAATAAAATTACCATTATAGACATCTCACACAATTCAAATAAACACACATCCTCTCAATACACACACAGACGTTGCAATGCCTCTGCTTCCTCATTTTGCTAAATGATCCACACACACACGTTACTCCATACCAGAGCTCCAAAGTTACTCCATTCTTCATTAGTGTACACTCCTTGCACAAGCTCCACACTCCTTCCACAAGCTGTCTTCCTCATTCTTCCTTCCTCATTCTTCATTACTTATTTGTGATGGAGGATTTGTCTTCTCAAAATCAGCAAATAAGTATTCATGTGACGCAGAGCGAAGGAAATGTGAGTTTAATTTTTTTTTTTCGCAGCGTCGTTCGGATAACCAGAGCCGAATTTTGTTATTTTGTTCGGAAATGTACTACCGAAATAATTATGTATTTTCGGAAGTTGATGTCCGAATAAAGTGATAAATTTCGGAAGTTGTTGTCCGAAAAATATGTACAAATTCGGAAGTTGTTGTCCGAAAAATGTTAACTTATACAACATTCAACTTCCGAAATTTTAAAAAAAATTCGAACAACTACTTCCGAATGAAGTAATTTTTTTTTTTTTCCATTTTATATTCCAAATTTGCAAACTACATACCAAATTTACAGTTTCAAATTGCAAATTAATCTTTATAATGCCATTAAAAATTTGTAATGTTATACAAAACATGCAGGAATATGTGTCAACTCAAGGAAGTCAGGTTTGCGCGAATTTTGTGTTAGATTACACCACTCATTTCACAACTGAACAGGTTCAGTCTACGAAATTATAACGATTATGTTTTGAATTGCTCACCAAATGTAAATGTTTGATAATATTTATTTAACTTTGTAGGTATTCAAAAGTAAGGATGAATTGCTCAACTGGGTACGTGAAGTTGGAAAGAGAAATGGTTTGGTCATTGTAATCAAAACATCAGACTATGGTGGAGGGAAAAAAAGACCCAGATGGCTCATCTCATACCATGAACATGAAAGAGTAGAAAACCATTGTACGGAAAGCATTCAACAATCACAGAAAGCAGAATACTTGAAGAAATAATGGAAAAATATATTAGGAAACTTCTTGAGAACCATACAGCTGTTCAAACCATTACATAAAAGAAAACCATAAAGAAAACCTATTTACTTGGCTAGGGTTTCATTAAAACCCTAGAAATAGGAGCCTAGCCACTCATGGAGGCGTGATGAAAATTGCCCTTGAAGCTTGAGAAATCTCTTTCCAAACCCTAGCCCCTCAGCCTTTTTCTTCTTTTTATTCTCAGTAGAATAGGCTTGAATTTAAGCACACGTAGCCCTAGGTGGGCCGCTCGAATGCCCATGTTGGCCGCTCGAGCGGTGATGGGCTGTACGTGCGGTAGAGCCTAGCCGTACGTGCAATAAGGTGGCAAGCCAGGAATTTTCATTACTCGCATAGAGAGTCTGCTTTTGCGCCACTTTTTACTTGAATTTGCATGTTGCCTACCAAATCTGTACAAGTGCACAAAACACATCATCTCCACCAAATAAACAAAATTCAAAGACTATAAATATAACTTAAGTGGCCTCAATGTGGTACAAATTACCAATCAAGCAGTTGGTGGTGGGGACATTATTGGAGAAGGTCACGAAGTCTTTCCCATGTTTCATGAAATTGCTCGCTATCAATTTGAGTAAAATTGGTGATGGCTC